GAACATTTGCCAATTTGCATCTCTTCTTCGATTGATCACAAGCAAAACATGTTTTGTTCACATCTACGTGCAAGAAATTCAAATTGGCAAATGTTCACGACAATTGTTGTCACCAAGGTGTATAGAAGGAGAGATCATAATGTTTTATCGTGGTGAATAGCAATAAAATGCAAATGGATATGGGTCTCCATCACCTGAAACTAGGTTTCCGTTTTGATGAAAACAGTGGACGATAAGATAAACACTAGGTTAATTTTATCGAGTACAGAATAAATGAAAAGCCAGGAAGCAGTGGATAGCTTTTATAGTAGGAAGCTTGGATTAGTCCATTCGGTTTTTCACACGCACCAGGCACTGTTAATGAATGGGCTAATCCAAACATTCACCATCTTAATTGATTGAGCCATTCGCTTAAGGTGATAACCGTCGACCGTGTAGCTCGAGAGTAGGAGTTTGAGACCCCAACCGAATGTCCTGAAACTGTAACGCGCCGCTCCAGGGTAGGCGCCATCGTGTAGGCCCGAATCACCACAACTCTCCTCCTTCTAGAGAGCTTCGTCAAATTGGCTTGCTCTTCTGATTGGTCGTCGGGGGGCCAATGGGGTATTCTCATCGGTAGACATTCCCTGAATCGGGGGCTGTTGCCTTTGATCTTCAGTAGGTGTTGACGGTGTCTCCCCATTAGGACTTCCTGGAATTTCTTCGACAGGAGCTTCTTTCGTTGAAGTGAATTTGGTCGATGTGGCGTCTGTCAGATCAGTGATCTCGGCCATAGCTTGACCAATCTTGCGGGTAATGATTCCTCTTGATGGTCTCAAGTCGTTTCCTCGGCAGAATACGACGTCACTCGAATCCACGCATCGTAGTGAGGAACGTAAGCTTCTGGCTTTGAACAGTTTCGCTGGTGGTAGCATGTGCGGCATTCCGATACTGCAGTAGGAAGTTGTCTAGGAGAATCTCCAACTTTACAACTGTCCTTGTATTTGCAGAGGAAATGGCACTGTTCACTGTCTTCACCAAATTTTCTTCTGCGCCGTTCGAGCAGGGGTGACGTGGTGCTGTGCGTAGATGTCGGCAGCCAATTCTGTCCAGCCACGTTTCCAACTCCGCAGCGCAGAATTGCGACCCACTGTCAGTCACCAACACTTGGCGAACACCATGTCGACTGAAACACTTTCGTAGTACGCGCATCACAAACGATGTAGTTGGTGTGCTGGTAATAAACACTTCAGGCCATTTTGAGTATGAATCGATAAGTACTAGTGCGTGATAATGACCAAGAAATGGTCCACAGAAATCGGCGTGCACGTTGCAATGGAATACAGCTTTCTGGCCATGGAACCCAATTCTTCGGTTTTCAATTCTGCTTTTGTAGGCATGCTTCGCAGTTCTTAGCAGTTCGACCAATGTCTTCATCTAGACCGGGCCACCAGCACATCTGTCGCGCCAACGACTTCATCTTCTCCACCCCTAAGTGGCCTTTTTGTAGGTCTTCTAGCACTGCCTTGGGTAGCGAAAGTGGGCTGATCAGTCTATCATTGCGGCATATTATTCCGTCAGGTTGGACACTGATTTCTTCATGTTGTGCATGGAATGCTGCGAACATCCGCTTCAGGTCGGGACGCCATCCTTTTGATAAAGCCGTTATGATTTCTGTGTAGTATCTTTTGGTACATCAGCGCAACCCCTCTTGTGATACCGGGGCAGCAGTAGCAATGAAATGGCACCTTTTAGTCGCCGAGAATTTGGACCACCGCGAGAGAAAATCGGCCTGGGGAATTGTTTTGCCCGAACGGTGCACTATGTTGTAGTCGTAGGCAGCCAATGCAATGCTCCATCGCTGAATCATCGCCGCCGTCGGTTTTGAGATCGACTTTTGTGGACTGAATAGATATTGTAACGCTTGATAATCGGTTATGATGGTGAAACGCAATCCAAACAGGTATTTGTGTAGACGACGGATGGCCCAATATACAGCTAGTGCTTCTTTCTGCGTCTGCGAATATCCTCGTTCAGCCTTGTTGAGTAGACGGGAGATGCAAACAATCGGACATCTGTTCTGTTTGAAGACGGCACCAATGCCAACATCTGATGCGTCGGTGATCAAAGTTGGATGTCTTGTCGGAGAGAACGAGGCGAGTACTGGTCGGTCAGTCATCATCTGAATGATTTCACGCAGGATTTGTTCACACCCGGTAGTCCATTTCCATTCCGTAGTCAACTGAATGGCAAACAGCGATTGGGCTTTTGTGGCGAAGTTTGGTATGAAACGCGAATAGTATTGGAGACATCTCATGATGGATCTGAGCTGGTTTTGGTCTCTTGGTGACTCGAGGTCAGTCAATGGGTAGAAGCGACTTGGATCAGGGCGATATCCTTTTGCATCCACTGNGTCTATCGTTATGCTCGGCCTTCGTTGTACCAAACACAATGACATCGTCCTGGTACGCTAACACGCCATCGAGTCCACGGATGACTTCGTCAATTGCCGCCTGGAATATGCCGTAGGATGTGTGGAGACCAAACGGTAGGAAGTTGTATTGATACAGTCCCCATGGTGTGTTGATAGTGGTGAATTGCCGGCAGGTTGGGAGGAGAAGAATCTGGAAGTATTGCATCCGCCAAGTCAATCTTCGAGAAGCATGTGCTACCGTGCAATGCTTTCATGAAATCCTCCGGTTCCATGGTGGTAGCCGCAAACTTTCACAGCCGCGAGTTAAGGGTTAATCGGTGTTTTGCTGTCACTCTTAATCGAGTTCACGATTGGCGTTGCCCACGTACTGGATGTGACTCGTGTGATTGTGCCATCGCGCTCTATTTTTTCAAGGGCCTGCAGTACACCATCACGTTGGCCGTAGGGAATTACACGTCGTTTCAGGAAAATGGGTTCACCATCAACTTCCAGTTTGGCCGGCTTTACGTTCATACCTCCCGTATTATTGGAACATTTCACGACCAGGTGCTGTAGATAGATGTGCATATTGGATATGGTGTATGTATGAAGCAATACACAGTGGTTCAATTCACGAATGGCGATTAGGCCAAGTATGGATGGACTGTTTTTAGCAATTAGGAAGCGGATGGGAACAAGGCGATGTTCTTTGTAATGTACCATCAATGAAACCTCACCAATCAATGGTAGTTTGTGTTCAGTCACCCCAAGGATTTGCACAGAGGTCGGATGGATTTTGGCTTGGGGGAAGATTGATCGAAGCACAGCAATGGAAATGATAGATTCCATGCTTCCCGTATCAACAATGAATTTGTGTGCTGTGCTGGACTGTAATGTCATATCTGTGTATAGGAACTGGGTGCGTTGGCTTTCGGATCGTAGAGAGAGCAGTAGATTTGTGTCATTCGCAGCAGTCGGCTGCGCAAGATTGCAACGGGGCTGTTTGCACACTCTCCGAATGTGGCCATTTTTCCCACATGCATGACACTTAGCATTTCGGAAGCCGCAACTGGAGCGCATATGGTAAGCTCTACATGACAAACAGGGACTGATACGTTTCTCGTTTCCTGAAGAGTCGTGATGCGGCTTCGGTACACTCGTGGGCAATGGAGGTCGGTTCGGTCGTGTCTTCTGCCGTTGGAATAATGTGACTGATTCGCTGGAAGTGACTTTCATCAGTTCGTCGTGCTGCTCACAGATCTTGCGGGCATCGGCAAAAGTTAAATCTTTCTTCTCCAGCAAATTCCGTTGAAGAGTCAGATTATTGATGCCTGCCACCAAGCGGTCACACATTTGTTCTTCCAGGCGATCACCATAGTTGCAGCGTGATGCTTGTTTGTTCAGCTGCAGGATGAATTCACGGCAGGAAACATAATCGGTACGAATCATGGAGTTGAATTTGGCCCTTTCATGTGCTTGGAATTTAGTGGGCAGCAGGTGGTTGAGCAGCAGCGATTTCAGGGACTTCTATTGTAGTTTGGTTGGAGCTTTAGGGAATGCCAGGTTCCTCAACAGGGAGTAGAGGTCACGGCCGCCAGCAGTAAGAAACAGGGTTGACTGATTCTGTGTACCACCTTTGCGAATGGTGCACTACAGCTCGAATCGTTCGACCCATTCATCGATCTCGGATGGACTTGCTTGCAGGTTCAGTTGCTCAATCGTTGGGAGCTCCATCAGGCGACACCAATTTATAATGATTGTAGTAATCGTAGTAATACGCACGGAATTCGGAACACCAAACGCACAATATGAATCACAGGACCCGAATCAATAATCAGCTATCACGGACTGGACCTCAGAATCACTGGACCACAATGGCACGGATTCGCAATGTCCCACAAGAACGAGATGCAAGGAAAAGGCCAAAGGACTGGCAATAAGTATTTCGTTTATTGTTTAGCACCGCACGCTGTGTCTGAAACTATAACGCGTCTACGTATTCAACCAATCGAGCTTGTGACGAGCTTTTCGACGGCAAGAACGAATGGCTGCGGAAGCCGAGTACGAGCGGAAGAAGTGTATGTGACCTGCAGCGGTAATTGTACAGAGAGCAAGCGCACGATACAACTCACCGGAAATTGTGTCAGGGTCGAGGTCATAAGAGTTCTCGAAAAGGAGGACAATAAAACAAAAATAGGGTCTGTACATTGATCACGGGAATGGCGATAGAAAATGAAAAGAATGTTACTACAATTGAAAGAAATGAAGGTGATTAAATAATATGTACAAAGGGAGATTGTTGACTATCTGAGCTTCCGCCAATGGGATTGCAGTACTGCTTGCATAATCTTGCTTCTTTACAATTGAAATCGATTGTAAAATCGCCTTGATAAAGGTTACCCACGGTAACCGAAACGTCGGCTTATTTTCACCTGTACCGACATCGCTGTTTTCAAAATTACAACTTATATAAAACATATCATATAGCACATCGATTTTTTGATACACTCCGAACGTTGTTCGGATCTGACACTCAGAGAAAGCTGTTTTTCCTGTATAATTGCACTCCTTACTCGGCAAAGGCAGGGTGTGAACAATTCCAAGAAATCCACGACAATGTTAGTAATTAACCCAATTTGTTGTTCAGTGTCAGTAATTCTAAACAATCACTGCCTGGAGGGAAACGGGTTTCAAGAATGTTTCGAAAACACCAAAAGCTTCAGTTCTTCATATTTCGGCAACCAACGGATGCAACGTTTGAATGAATGTAGGTCTTGCGGTTGAAGACACAAGTAGTTGACTTTTGCATTTCCTAATGCCAAGTGTCACGAGTGTAGTAAGCCAGATCATATTCAGTCTTTGTTAAAAGCGAAAAACCATGTCTTACGTAATGTACGTCTGTTCAGTCCTCGAATTATTTATCATTGGACTTACAGACATTGAATCACACCACAAGTGTGCTCGTGACGCCCAAGCCGAATCGACTCCTGATTGGATGACTAAGGCGAATCAAATAGCTGTCATCCGGTCGATCAAACGGAGTGTCAAGGTCACGATCTGATTGGCGCGTCACCACGTCTGCTCGCGTACGTCCAACAGACCACATATTTGCTTGTTGTTTCATGATCAAATATACACTCTGACTGTCGTTTCTCAGTAGTGTTCTTTCTCCAGCTGTTGGGGCCTAGACAAAGAGGCGTACGCATCGATCACATCGTCCTGACACAAGACAACACAATTCAAGTTGCCTCATTGTTTGATTTGCACCCACAGCCTGCATTCTTTTGCACTTCAGTCATTGAACGGGCTTTGAGGAATTTGCTTTCCTTTCTATCCACGAGTGCAGTCTTACGTGCTCTTTCCCAGCGATTACATTCCACTGTCATCACCGATGTATTATTTGAACCGTGTTAGAGTAGAACAGTCATCCGGTGTTGTGCATCTCATGCAAACTCACGGCTGTCGAACTGGGGTGGGTATTTACAAATTGATAATGGGGCTCCAGCTATTTTTTCGGCTGTCACGCGTAAACATAGGTATATGTGACTGATTATGAAATCTTGAAGATCAGTTACAACCCCCAAAGTTTCCGGGCAAGGTCATCTGCAGCCATGGTGCAAAGATGACGCGTTGATTCGTCTGCCTATCCTACCACATCCATCATTGAAGGGTGCAGTCCATTCCGCATGCAGACTATCTATCACGCTATGCCATTTTGGAGAAGGCTTCTACAAAATGATGGTTTACTCACTCAACCGCTTCCGGTAAGTCGATTCGATTTGGTTCACCATACCAGGAAGTATTGTATCCTCTGTCCTCCATAAGGAAATTTATGGGACATGCTATGGTGTGTGTTAGAACGATCACATTATTGTTCCCCCAAAATCATATACAACTGTTCTAAGCGATTTACATTCCCGTCATCTTGGCATTGAAAAAATGTGGTCTCTGGCTCGTCTTACATTTGATGTCCTAAACTAAATCATGACTTAAATCGTGTTGCCAAATCCTGCGCTGAATGTACAAAGCTCATGTACCCAGATGGGCTCCATGGCCAGTATCTTCAGAATCATGGCAACGAATAAACCTGGGTTACTATGGTCCATATTTCCAAAGTATTACTCATTATTGCTCGTTGATTTCTATTTCAATAGACCAGAAACACCTGTTGCATCACATGGTGCAAACTTTTTACCACTTTGACCCTCAACAGAGAAGCTATCCCTCACCCTATTGTGACAGCGTGGCCACCAATGAAATTCATTTCACTTCTATTAAAGTTATCGACTGGTTGAATCCCGTGGGGTTCCAAAATGTTCTGACTCTATCTCGGCATCTACAATTCAATGGTGTAACCAAAAGCTGTGTGCGCACGCAGAAGAGTGTTACCATCTCTGTGAATCCTAGAACATTTGGTGGAGTGGGCCGAGATGTCGATAACTTCTTAATGCAACACCGGAACGTAATCCATACAGCTACTGGACATAGTCCAGCAAATTGCTTAAGATATGAGCACTTTGGACGAGTTTCCGAAATTTATAATCCACGTAAATTGTGTATCAACTAGAAAACAATTTATGACCATCGAAAGGCTTTGCGTTAGACCACAAAGGCTAAGGAGAATGTTGAGTATTCGATTTAGACGATGATATAGTATATAGATGTACCAATTATTTAATTGACATTTATTAGCTAGCAGACGAATAGATTAAATAATTTGTTGTTTACCCAGATTTGATGCTAATCCTGAATGTGCTAATCCTGTTATTCCTGAGTCTATTAAACATGAATTATATTCTTGTGCAGGTGTTCGAAAAAGCACTGAAGTACTAAGTTCTAAAAAGTTCTGCAACTAAGACCCGCATGATTACAGAAAGCTAAAGCAACATTCAAGCTGAGGCTGATGTGTGATTGTACATATACTGCAGACTTGTTTGTTCTATTGTAAACACCTTTCCACATTCTAGGCTTCTACACATCGCGTGATAAATGATCATTTTCACCGTGAAATTCTTGCATCTTCTTACGATTTTAACCATGAGCTCCATCAGATTATATGTAATTAGTTGTACATGAATCTGAAAGCTCCTTAGATGAGGTCTACGGATAACCTTCGCCACTCCAATTGCAATTACTAGTAATTTTCGAGTTCACGTTACCATCCGGCACACCATCAGCACAAATGTTTCATACATAAAAACCTATTACTCATGAGTAGTATACAGTTATCCCCACTAAATAAAAAGAAACATTCACAAATAATGAAAGAGAAAACGTATAATGAAACGAACTGAAGTCTAACATGGGTATAGTTGTGCAATTTGTTCGTAAATAAGTGCTAATATCATTAGTAAACTGTTGGATGGAAAAATAAAATCACATTGAAATGTTCCCATAAGACATTGTCAACTGACCGCAATCGGCTCATCACAAACAGATGGGGCTTGTGCAGTGTCACTGTATATTTCTTCTTGATTTTCCAATTTCTCATTTGTGTCCTCAACAGTGATCCTTTCGGATGGGTGCGAACGCACATGATCCGTGTGTCGACGGACCGTCTTTCCATCGCCAAGTTCTATGACAGTTTACATTCCGGACTGGTTGAGCAATGTACCGTGAACCCAAAGGCGCTCGTGAAGTAACTTCTTATAAACTTCAATCTTCATTCTTCAGGATTGATGGCAAAGGGTAGGGTGCCCGTGAAAGCCCCATCACCATCGAGTCGAAGGTCCGATCACAAGTGTTCATTCCTCCATAGCCCCTTCAGGTGCTCATCCAGACACCGTTTCAAACCAACGTCTGTCTTCTCTTCCACCACAATCGCTGGAAGGGAATTCCAGAGTGTTTTTGACCTATGCGAGAGTCGGTAAACTAACGTAAGACCAAATGACTGAAGTTTCCGCAGTATGAGAGAGTTGCAGTGACCATAATTGTAAGAAGAAAAGAAGCAATCCACCAGGACGTTTTCCGTTCATATTTTCTTTACAATCAACTCTGACTCGAACTGTGGTACTTCATTATTTTACTTGTTTGTTTTACTGAGCACGTTTTTCCGCTCAGGTGTATATATAAGCTGGGTCCTGTTCAAACCCACGCAGCACGTGTGACACGCTTTTGCTTCGCTACTGCATTTGTTGCTTGCATTGTTTAGCGTCACCTCGGCACGTATTCAGTACTATCTAGTACCAGGACACGAAAATAAACGTCTACGACCACCACAAAATTTTTTGTCTACTTCGGGCAACGAGACACTAGGAGATCGCGCGCGCTATTTGAGATCCGTAAGAGGATTTATCCGCAAGCCGTAAACGTCGATTAGCTTCAGGGTATCTCTATAACAGCTTTATGGCCTTCTTGTGACTTCACTTAAAAGACTAATTTCTGCTGCTTTATTGAAATTAAATTACTTACGTATCATTAGGGCAAGCAAACCTTGCAATCAGTATGAT